CGCGGCCTCCTGCCGGCGCAGCGGGGCCATTTGCTTGTTGATCAAACAAAGCTTTGCAGATCTAGGACACCCAGTGAAGTAAAACTGGAAAAATGCCTTTCTTCTGGATGCTTTTTTGGCCAAAGATGGCTGTGTAAAAGTCAGTAACAGCTCCGTCTTTCATCCAAAAAATAAAAACCTGGCCTCTGGCCGTTTGCAATCATGCAGCAGCCTCCAGCTGAAGCAGAAGCAGAAGTTGAACATCCCGGCAAAATCCCAGCTCCGACAACCGCTCGGTGCCTGCTTCACGCCCCCAGCGAGTGGCTCCAGGCTTTTCCAAGTCCCGCTCCAGGAAAAAGCACAACAGAGGTTTTCCCACATCGAGCAGAAAGCGCCCTGAACTATTAAACTGCCGACGACGGCGGCGGAGGCAGACTCAAGCGCCGGGCCCCCTCCTGCCACGCGCCGCCCCCGCTCCTGCCCTCGGCGAGCTGCGATCGTGCCGGCGGCGCTGCCGTCACCCGCGCCCCTGCTGCCAAACCCGGCTCTCGGCTGAAATGTGGGATCGAAGCTGTCGTGCCGACAGCTTCGGTTTTAAATTGCTTTAAAACCTCCAAGAGGAGCCATTGGGTTCTGCTAAGAGATGGGAGCGGGAAAGGAAAAGGGAAAAGAAATGGAAACACTTTTGCTCTTGGTTGCCAGGTAAATGAGGTTCAGCTTCGGAAAACACATACGGCCTCTAGTGTTAACTGCAGAACCGGAGTCTCCACGGAGTGATTTCTTTCTTCGGAGACATAATAATAACAGTAAATGATTAAAAAGAAAAAGGCCTAAATCTATATCTGCAGTTAACTCAGGACTCCTTCGGACTTCATGACTGTTTCTGGGTAAATAAATGCTTATTTGAAAAGGGAACCTCCAGTCGCCAGCAGAAAAAGGGCAGCAAGGCCGTGGCCAGGCTGCTCACACACAAAAGGCCTAAATCTATATCTGCAGTTAACTCAGGACTCCTTCGGAGTTCATGACTGTTTCTGGGTAAATAAATGCTTATTTGAAAAGGGAACCTCCAGTCGCCAGCAGAAAAAGGGCAGCAAGGCCGTGGCCAGGCTGCTCACACACAGCCTACCCGGGGCAATAATTCAGCAAATGGGGTTTTTTTCCAGATTTCCTCCATGTGTGGGGACCTCCGGGAGGTTTTTCCCGCGCCGGCAGGCCCCTGGCCGGTGCCCCGCGCTGGGCGATGGCTGCGATCAGCAGCAATTGCCCGGCCGCGGGACAGCCGGGGCCCAGGGG